AAAATAATTTTGTAAAAGAAGTTGGCATATTATACATGCCTCGCATACATTCTAGATATTTCAAGACAGAATATTTTGAAAAGCTCTGTGTTTACTTTCGGAAACTATCGGGTCTTCATCAATATCCGAATTTTCGAAAAAACGTGGGTTTGTTTACTGAAAATATTAATTATTGTTGAAAGAAATGAAAAAATAAGTACAACAAACTTGCCCAAGGAAAAATGGATCTTTTATTTTAACCTTTTTTGGGATTAAGTGAATAAAAGTATTAATATTGTTTGAAAGTGGAAACACGCTGAAGTAATAAGTTTTTTCCTAAAGAAGTCAGCTTTTTTTGATAAATTCGATAATTAGATTAAAATAAAATTGTGTAATACTGTACTGTGTGGTTATTATATATAGATTTTTAGAATTTACGTACCAATAAAAAGAGCTCCATAATACTAATAGGGTTTGCCCGAAATTCTTGGGAGAGCGTTTCTGATTTTTGACCGAGATTTCACAGACAACAAAAAGCGTTTAATGTAAACTTTGGAAATAATTTCATCTATAAATTTATATTGTTTATATTCTTAAATTTTATGGCAAACTAGCTCTAACTAACTCTTATATTTGATAAGATGCTACTATGATGCCTCATTTTGTACAGTTTTCCCCTCGGTTTTCCGTTACTAAAAATTTTAAATTGCGAGATATTCCAACACGAAGACGAATAATTAGTATATAATCGAAACTAGAGTGTGCCAAATAACGTTTCAATTTTTCAAAATTTTCTTTTTAAAAAAAGTTTAAAGTTAAAATGCACTTGCGTGTACGGAGTGCTATTTGATAAGTACTTTCAAGTGGCGATGTCTCAATATGTTTACTGTACTATGTTTACTATACTATGGTTACTATAGTGTGGAGTGACAAAGTTTTATGTTTATATTTTCTTCATTATTATTAAAATTGGTACCTGGTAGTTATTTAACATTAAAATTTTACATTTGTTCTTAATTTAGCTCTTATTTATAAGGGGCTGTGCCTCCTTGTATTTTCTCACTTTTACAGGCTTATTACTTTTTGTATTATATTTTTGATAAAACAAATAAATTTCTCAATTACTTTGAACGCTTCTAATCCAACTAATCCGATAAAAACTCAGAAACAACATGGTCTACATCTTTTCTATTCACATTTTATGTAAAAGGTGGAGACGTCTAGATTTGAATGAACACGCCTTAATTGTTGCACAATTGTTGCAGTATATTATCAATCAAAAACGCGATATTTTGTTGTATTTTCGTTACAGCCATTTACTACAGTTGTAAAAAGAAACAGTACTTTTTTGCGATATAGTACTAATACGTTGACTAAGTAAAGTTTGACGTTGACCATTGTTAGGTATTATTTCATACCCGGTGCACAACGAGGTGCAGTATTAGGGAAAACGTCACCAAATCGTCACACAATCGAAATTGCGTCACTCCTAGCACGATAGCCTAGGGTAAAACCTTTTTAACGACTTCAAGTTTATTAAAATGCGTTGAGCTGTTTTGGACCACAGCATTAAACGAAAAAGATTTGGATTAAAGGGTTTTATCTCGAGCTGTTGTGCGTCGACCACAAATAAAAAAAAACTGCGGAAGTCTGTTATGTACGCGATTAGATAAAGTTTCCTGGCTTCTATCGAGTCAGCGCGAAATTTAAGCTTACGTTTTTCGCCGATGCATACCTATACGTACCAAGAAATAATAACACACACGCACGACATGTTTTGGCGTAGAACTGGCTGGCGTGGAAACCGTTGTGATTTTTCTATATTTTTTGAATTCTAATAGATAATCTTCGACTCAATCGGTCCGTATGTTCCCAACCTCAGAAACTAAACAAAATGTTAAAAAAAAACTTAGTTACAAAACTTGCTATTCACATATAATTTTATATCGGGCAATTTAAAACTTTCGTTTTTTAAATATTACGTATATACGAGGTGTGTTCAAAAAGTAACGTGATTTTTGAGTTTTATGAAAAAGTATTTATATTTATGAAATCAATGTTGCCTCGTTCAAAGTAATCCTCCAGATATAATACAAATATATCCAAGGTCGAATGTACGTAGCTCGACCAATTACAAAAGTCAGCTTACTTTTTGAGAAAAACTCGTAGGTCTATTAAGGCATTTTTTAATTCCTCGGAAGTCTTGCCCTTCTCTGTTATATTTTAAATTTCAACTCAAAAGTGACTTGCAGGTCTAAATATATTTATCGGACGAACAACTAAAAGCTGTTATACATATATTGATTTCCTTATAGAAGGGATCTACTTTAGTCGTCTGTTGATATTCTTAAAATAAATAAATACAATGTGATCAAAACTTCCAAATATTAGCAACAACACGTCTTTTTTTTCTTAAAAAAATGGTATTACTGCGAAATATAGACAAAACAGTTATTTAATATAATTAAAATAGTATATTATGCAACAAATGCGGTAAACGGCATTTGACTCATGAGTTTATTTGACACGAGCGGAGCGATCCGTGGAAAAAGAAACTGACGTGGTGTATTTTACAGACGGGAGTAAAAAAAGATATTTTAATATTTGCAACAGTCAAAATGAAATCTTTCATAAAACAGCTCTATTGCCTAACCTCAAAGATTTTAAAACTTTCATCATTTTTTCTGTTATTGGAGCATAGTAGGTGCCACTGCTATAGTTGCTTAATTGTTTTTTTTTCTGCTAATATTGGTAGTATTTAGAAATCGAACGAGAAAGGCGAAATCTTTGGCATAAAATTAAAAATATGTCAGAAACGGTAAAACTTTAGGAAATGTTAGTTTCGATGTATTAAATGCCATAATATACAATAATATACTTGAACCATTTAAATTAAGAAAATTCTTATTTTTCCACAAAAATACAAACATCCTATAGGACACAAAAGTTTTAAAGGTAAGTGAATTAATAAGCTGGTGCTATCGTATTTGTCTAAAGCGGCCCATAGATGATTTACATTATTGCGGAATGTAGATAGTATCCCAGCAAATCAAAATTAAAACAACAAAGAAAAGATATCAAATTCAAAATTAGTAAACTATGTGCCTGAATTTTTCAATACTTTTTATAAAACTTTTAGCGTCGGTTTTTGTTGAGTCGAACTAGCTAGCGTTTCTCCAATTATTCTGTTGGCTTCTTCAGACCTTGACTGAAACTGCCTCGTATTTTACTTTCTACCTGCTTATATATTGTTTGACGGGGGCGGAGCTAAATGAGTTGCATAAACACCGTTCTCGGATGACTGATTCCCATATTGGTTAGGGAGACCTGAGTGCGGTTCAGATTGTTAGGTTGCTTATAGATTCCCATAGACTCTTGGATTTTTCGTTGGTAGAAGAAATGATTACGTGCAAGAATTTTAGTTTTTTCGAATAGCTTATTTGTCTTAGTCTTAAGGTTCTTTCATGTTCTTTGAGAGTAGTTGATATTTTTCGTCCGGTCTCTCCAATGTATTCTTTACCTCATATGCATGGAATGCTGTAAACTTCTGGCATCTCAAATGCAATTGTGTCTTTGACGGATCGAAGATGTTGAGAGATTTTTTGACAAGTGATAAATCTAGTTTGGACGTTATATTTCTTTAGAACTTTTTATATGTGGTCAATGATGTTTTGAATGTAAGGAAGGACAACAGTGTCAATTGTGGGATTGCTTTCGGTTTTATTGCTATTACAAGGTTGTGGTGAATTGTAATATCTTTAATTTGGTAATTATTAGAGAGAAGAGCAGAGGTTAGGTGTGTTAATCCTGGGTTCGATGACTCTCGAGGTAGTTTTACAACTCTGCAAAAAAGAGAGTTGACCACCGATGATTTTTGGGCGGGACGGTGATGTGACAATGCATTAAGTTATCGGTCTGTGTGCGTAGGTTTTCTGTAAACACAATGACCCAATGTTAGGTCTGATTTTCTATTGATAAGAATATCTAAGAATAGGAGGTTGTTTTTAGTTTCTATTTCAATGTTAAAACGTATGTTAGTGTGTATAGAGTTTAAATGTCTAATAAAATCTACTAGGGATTCCTGATCATGAGGCCAAATAACAAAAGTATCATCGACGTAGCGTTTCCATAATGTTGGTTTTAGATGGACGGTGTCGAGAGCTTTTTTCAAAGGTTTCCATTCGCGATGACTGGTGATAGTCGAGAACCCATAGCTGACGTATTCATACGGGCACTACAACCAAAACAGCGACCTTGAAAATCAAGCATATTGGGTGTCTAAGGATTTTCGAAACAGATAATACCTGAGGATACCTGTAAAAAAGCCTTTAAACCTTATTTTTGGCAGTCGACATGTTTTTTGATAGCTTTGTAGTTTCAAACAAACAAATCGGTATAAGTTGCATTTAGATAATTTTGTACATTAAACTTTAACCTTTAACACATCGGCTGTTCTTATGCAATTGTTTTAGCGTATTAAAATAATGTTTTTTCCGCCTTTTACTATATATATTCTTTTGTAGTTTACACAACAAAAAAATCCGTCATTAACATTTCGTCGTAAAATGCTTTTTTTTTCATTTCATTTGTTTAATTGTTTGACTCAATTATTTATTAGATTTATTATTATCTGTTAGATTTTCACAAATTATTTATTGGTGTATGACAGCTGACTTTATATATTGATAAAGTGTTCTAATTTACCCTACAATGTATATGGTCCTCCATATATAGGTCAATTAGTTGATATTCAAATAAGTAATAATAATAATAGTAACTGAACAATAGATTAAATACTTAAATATGGAAACGAATATCAGCACACCACAGTATGATCCTTCCGCGCGCGTCCTTGAAAACACGTGCGGATAAACTAGAAATTTAGCAAGTCTAGACATGTTTCATGTTACACGCGCGGTGTTAGTGAACTTCTTTTGAACGAAATTTGCTAAATATAACTAAAAAAATATGTAACTTGTTATATAGCTTTGCTGTGGTCATTTGCGGGTGTCAAATTGTTTTATGCTGTTGTCGACGTTAAAAAATTAACACTTCCTTCCGATTTACGGTATTTGTTGACTTTATCTACGCGAATAAATTAGCCAGCGGTATTCTTCTTCGAGACCATAATTAAAATTGCCTATTACAACAGAACGTCCTGCACACACACACACTCATATACAAACACGCGCATATATATAAACTAACCGGCCCCCGTTTATCCGACAAGTCTGAAAAGAAACCGTCGTCCTTGCAGTGTAAATACGTTTCATTGTGGTGTTCGCCATTAGTCGATCTCGATCGGGTGTGAGAGGAGCAAGTTACGTCGGTGTTTTTTGACCTTTTGGTGTCGTGGTTCTATGTGATCCCGCCAGGGGGTAAGTTGTGATTATATTTTTTCTTTTTTTTTACAATAACTCTGTCGCATGTTTTTATAGAGATCTCCGACAGTCTTCACTCTCTTCTCCCCCCGAAGAAAAAGAAAAGTGCCTAACAGTACTGGATAATAATTTGTGGATGGACTTAAGAAATAATTAGGTCAAACGATACTTTATCGGAGCACCGATAAGTCGCACCTAAATTAAATGGTGCGCTTGGTTTTTGGGAACCGCAGCTACGAAGGTTACGTCGAATGGCAACCGATCAAAATCAAGAATTCGAACAACAGCGGCGTCTACAACAAACAAGGTTTGTTCTCACCGCCGGCGGAAAAAAATGTTAATTTATTTGTGATGCAAAATTTGGAATGGTCGCTTTGTTTTCATACGAGTTTTATGTTTGTTTCGTAGTTTTTATTGATACATAGCTTTAAAAAATAGTTTAAGTATAAAGGGCTTCCTGATAAGTATGCCCGATCTTCAAAGTGTAATAAAATAAAAATCTTAAATTAATCGGACATAATTTAATAGTTATTTAATGCCGCCTTGTGAGTCGAATGATGTGAATCCAGTTTTCGATGACCTCGTTGCACAGGTGGGGCACAATCGCAGCAATATTGCGTCTGATGTTGGCTTTAAGGGCGTCAACCGTTTGTAGTTTATCGGCTTAGGCACGAGATTTAAGAAATCTCCAGAGAAATAAATCCAACGAAGGTGTATCGAATGATCTGGGCTCTCAGTAAATGTCGCCATTTCGTGATATAAAAGACTCCTCGAACTGAATCTTGTTGAAATATATTTCTCAGATCCATACCATTATGCTCCACAAAAATATTTTTATCATAGCCTTACCGTTCACACTACTGACAGTCATTTGCTAGCTCTGTTATAGCGCGCAGTTAGCGAATTCACGCCACAGTTTATGATCACTTGGCTTCAATTCCTTAGTCAGTTGCACCTTATGTGTGTGGTGATGTAAGTCGTGCTCCGGGCCTCTGCTATAAAAGGCATGTGTGACTTTTGACTTTTCAATGCGACCTTGTTAAAAATCGGGCGTTCTTATTGGGAAACCCATTAGCACTCTCTCTCTCTCTCTCTCTGTCGGACCTTTGCTGTGCCTTTGATGTGTTCGTTATTCTACGGGATTACGAGGGATCTCTGATTGTATGTTTGTTCCTAGTATAGCATATCTATATACCCGGGGTTTCCAAAAGTATGGTATATAATAAATAAATAATATGACGCACCTTATAAAGTTATTTCTATTTTTACATGAAAATTTGCGAGTCTCAGCTTCTTGGACAAAAATATTGAACATTTAAATATATTTCTCTCTACCTCAATGTTTAAGAACTCCATTAAAAAGAAGGGTCAAGCCGAACGAAAAATTGAACCATTAAAAAAGGACAAGGCTTGAAGGGTATGACAATAAAAAATTTCACAGAGTGTTCCAAATATGCTGTTTTTTCACCAACCTTTAACCTATAATCTTGGAGGTAAATGAACTTACCATAAACAAATTCTGACTAGCATCCGACGCTTGCAGTGTTAATTTCAGTTGAATCTTATATAAGTTTTATTCTTTGATTTCTTCTAAAACATACATTTGTTACAAAATTGTATAAGTAAATTCGGCCGTTTGTTAATTTCCCAGGAAAATCATACCATCGGAATCACTTATCACTGAAATGTAGACTGCAAATTCTTATTCGACTGTGACTTTATACGTTATATTAGCGCATCTATGAGTGCCTATAAATCTCAAGTACATTTTTCCAAGCGTAACACCTGCATACAAGTATGAGATTGAATATACTATGAAATAAAGTGGTAAGCAATAAAATCTATTGAGAAAGTGGGTTACAGGACTTTCCCTGGGAAGAAAGACAAAAAAAAGTTTTTAACATAATACTACCTGGCCTCATCTAATGGACAACGAAAAGAAGACAGTTCCTCGTTTAATTTACTGGCACAACTTTCCACTACACAATACGTCACAGACATTTTGTTCACTTATTTCGATCACCGAGTAGAAGACGGTCGACGTTCGTTGCAAGCGCACCGTGTATCCTTTGCCTACTGTCGACCTACTGCAAGTTAGACGGGAAGGGGGACACCTTCCAACGGTCGATTGGCGGCACGTTGTCGAGTCTGGCAACTTATATATTAATCCTGTATACTTTACCATTAGATTCTCTCTAATCTTCAACATAGAAACATACACAACATTGAAAACATTATCCGTTCCAAATCCAAACAAACCGCAAATTGCTCTGCTGTGGAGGTCACTCTAGAAACACTAAATAACAATTATAAAAAAAATAGTATTTGATTTGAAAAATATTTGAATCGAATAAGCACACGGGAAATGTAAGAAAAACGATTTATGCATACTACTAAAAGGTAAATAAGATGAAAATGTAAGATCTGATTCTTGTGAGAGATTTTCCATAAACCCACACACTACAAAAACTGTTCGCTAAAAAACGTTAGGAAATATTTCTTTCGACCATGTTTGTTTACTGCCAGCACCACCACCATCGGATAATATGCATTCGTACAGAGGTTTTTGATTAAGACGTGTTCTCCGCTCTTTTTCGAGTGAAGTGAAGTGAAGTCTCTCCTCTGGTCCTCCAGTGAACTTGGCTTCTGAATATTATTGGCGTGAATATATATGGCGCTAAATTCGAATATAGGGCGTTTAATGTAAGTACTTTCTAGTAACTAGTTTTAAATGGATATTTTGTAATATTGTAATACTTGTTTAGTCGATTGAGTGTGAAATTGTAAATGATTTGAAATTTATTTTCTTAAATGGTTTTGGGTTTACAGCAAACCTCATAAGATCCCATTTGGTGTATCTAATCATAGAACATTGTAAAGGCTGTGATCGAACATTTTGTACTTTTTCAATTTATCCATTCAAGCAATGATCAGCTGGTGCTATTTCATCACATCACACGGAATGTGATCCGAATTAGTCTGAAAATGTTTGATATTCGAAATACCGAATTTTCATTTTACACAATATTAGTTGCTTAAAAACCTTATTAAAAACGCCATGAAATAAGCAAGCTTAATATGTTATTCAAGCTTCGACACGACGTGTCACTGACGATGTGCTAGGCAGGCTAGACTTCCAACGTTGGTAGGATTTTTGTGATTTTTTAGATAGTGGAGTTTAAATCAACTGAATTGATGACGCGTTTTAGAGCAAACCGCGTAGTAGCATACTGTAAATATTATCCAGTTAGTGAATACGACGACCATTAAACCCTATGGAAAATTAACATCGTACTATGACCCCGTAAAAATTTACTGTTTATAGAGGCAGTTTGAAAAAAGAATGACGTTACTCTGCCAAGCGAATTGTAATCAAACTGGCCAGACGACTTCAAAACTCGTTACTATAACAAATAAATACTCCCAATGCAATAGTGATGATGACCCCGTAAAAACTCTGCCAAGCGAATTGTAATTAAACTGTCCAGACAACTTCAACACTTGTTAATACAACACACAAATACCCCCAATGCAATACTAAATACTATAAGTCGCGCGGTACAACAGAGACGTCGCCATGAGGAACTAGATTCGCATTCAAGGATGTAGGTTTCCAGGTCGAAGGTTTTCGAGAGATCGACGATAACTTTTGCTGACCTCAAATGAAAGATGACATGTAGGCGCGAACGAGTTAGTCTGGCGAAAGGATCGCCGCGAGCAAATTTCCATCGAACGCTACACAATTTCGCATCCCAAAAACACCGGTTCTACGATGCTGTACGTTGTGCTTATATTACTCAATAAATATTTACCTTATAATTCGTTTTTTCTTTGAGACATTCTTTAATAATTAGGCTTCCAATATGTCTGGCTTTCGAGGATACCCTGTATACATCACTCAAATTTGTATTTTTAATTCATTTAACCTGTTTTGGCCGAGTGACGTAGTGCCCGTCCGAATACGTCACTCAGTTGCTTAGCTATACCGTCACACTGATTGATTGATTGGTGCATGCTTCGTAAAGAAGAAGATAGCGAGCCTTTAATTCGAATTTCAATTACTATTTTTATTTTTGATTTATTTATTTATTTATTTTTTTAATTACTATTTTATGTTTTCGTTTTCTTAATAAGTAATTAATTTAAAAGTAAAGAGATTATGTATAGACTGTATATGCAATTAGTTTTGTAAACTAACAATTAAATATGAATTAATACAAATTTGAGATTTTGGAATTGAGTCATTTTATAATTGATTCTTAATTTTCAATTGATGAAATACGAATTACTCGATGTATTTGTCTATTACTTTCTTTAAGAGACCGGTTAATAGGCTTCCATTATTTCACGCAAATAAACGCCGAATAATAAACAAGGTATAACTTTTTTTTTTAAGGCGAAGTCCTCCATATCCATTTCTCTGATGGTGCTCTATTATTATTATTATTATTATTATTTTATTATTTATTTTACACAATTTTTATTCGTGACTTACTTATATGTTTAGACATATGTTTATATGTTTAAGACATATTTCATAAATAAAACTTATGATAATTGTTCTATTTAATTTACCTTCTGTCATTCTGTAATTCTGAACAATTGCAAATTATAACATTACAAGGCAATTTTCTAAAGCGCTGGCTGCCACTTTTCATTTTTAGGTTTTGGCATTTTAACGCAGTACTAACGTTCGAAAAAACGCATCACTTTTTTTCTTTTAGAAACTTGAAAAGTTTTTTTGAAAATTATAAATTTTTTAGCTCAATTTAATTAAAAATCTACAATTATTTTAGAAGTTGAAATTTTTGTTATCTCCCAAAATAACTTGTTGACCCATTTTTATGTGAAATTTTCGTCACTTTTGAACAATAAATTAATACATCCTGCATAATAAACACCGTCATCGTCTTCACGTGAACGTTTTCGTAACACGTTTTGTTTTTTAGATGTGATTCCGATTATCCAGGGAATGGACGAATCGACAGAAGGGTAAACTGCCATTTGGATGATGTTTTGTATGGGGTGAACTACAGTGAAAAAGATGATGAAGGGTAATTCCAACATATTGACGGAATTAGTATTAAAACTGCCAACGGTTTCAAGTTTATGTTCGATTAAAACTCTGATCTTATTCGACGGTCGCGGAATATTGCTTGCTTATTTTTCCCATATATCTATCTGCATTCTTCTATGTTCAGTGTTGGTATTGATTGTGTTGTTTTCGAATTTGTGCTTTGGGTGCGGTTATGTTCGACTAAAACTTTGATATTATTCTACGGTCGGGGAATATTGTTTGCTTATTTTTCCAATATATCTGCATTCTTTCATGCCCAGTGTTGGTATTGATTGTGTTGTTTTTGAATTTGTGCGTTAGGTGTGCTTGTATACGAATTTTGCCCAAAAAATATTCAAATAAATTACATTTATTGTATCATTTAAAAAGAAAACACTGTAGTCTGAGCTTTAAATTTGGTGTGAATTGCTTATTTTCAAATTGAAAAAATTGAATAATCCTGTTTAAAAACAACTTTTAAAAAAACTATTTAAAGTTGTTTTCGAATTTCGAACTTAGATTTCAATAAAGCCAGTGGTAATTTCTGCCTGCATTTTGTGTGAACGACCCTTTCTCAAGGGATTATAACATGTGGGTGGCATTTTTACCTGAAATTCTCGGAATTTCTTAAACTGGCCGCAACCATTCCCTTTTCGAAGAAGATGCCGCGTCGGGACAAGCGCATGGAACAGCGGGAAATTCCACCTTTATTGAAAGAAAGGAATTATTTTTATGAGGGTTCCGTTAAATGCAATAAATTTAAGCAGCAAATTAACCATCGTGTTTATGAATGAATGAAATTACATTTTGACTTATTATTTTACTTTCGTTTCAAGTTAATTAATAGCGATTTTGGATGTTTGGTTTTCTCAATAACTATCGTTATTAATATCAGACCAAATATTTCAGAAGAAAAAATTAAATGCATAATTTTTTCAGGGTAAACTTCGTATACACACACATATTTCATGTGCAGTGTATAGGGGGTATATCTTTATCGTTAAGAATAATCATCCATGATTTCTAATCGGATGTGGGTTCATTTTAACGTTTCCCTTTCGGTACAAAAGCGGACAAAACTAACGGGGCCAGGGGTAATTGCCAATACATTTCAATTACCTAATGACGACATATTTTCAGGCCACAGGCTCCACGTCAAAAAATGACCCCTAGAAGCAGTTTAACCGGCAAGGTACAACCTGAATCGACGGACAGCTCTCAAAAAGCAGTAATTAAAATTGAAAATAGGGATAAGGAGACTTTAGAAGATCAGCCTACGGAGAATGCAAAAATTGTAATTGATATCAATGGCGTGAATAATGCTGATAGTAAATGCGATTTGGCAAAAGAAATTCCAGCGGAAAGTAATAAGAATGACAATTGCGTCAAAGTGAACTGTGATAAAACTGAAAACAAAGACGCCCAAACTTGCCTTGCTATTGATTCTGGAGGTGGTGATAGAAAAAACAACGATGACTGTGATCCTCTAAACAAGCAAAGCTGCATGGAGCTGTCATCTAGACCACAGTCTCCAGTTGATATATTGGATTCTATAGATACAAGGTCAAGTTTTCTTGCAAAATATTGCAACCCCGAGAATCCTTTCTTTAAAGCATCTTCATGTCCTAGGGAGTCATCGCGTAAGGATGGCGGGCACATATCGTCTTACGAGCATAATTTACAATTAACAAATAATATTTTAAGAGAAATAGATGAATTTTGCGGTATCGCAACGGAAAACGCGGATAAAGAACACGATTTGGAAATTCATGGTTCTGAAACCGATCTTCTAGAAGACACAACTTGCAGTATCGTTCCTGATCAATTTCCAGAGATTTTTCAAAAAAATAATGCAGACAAGAAAAAGAAATGTCTGCGCCCGCGAGGCAAATCTCTGACAAATACTCAGACGGATGTTAAATTTGTGCACGGGCTTAGGAAAGTGAAATCTCTAGGAGATATTGCTGGGGCAAGCTTGGAAGAGGTGCGCTTTGTCTCCGTAGCGAAACAGGATTATAAAGATGAACTGTTGGAACTCTTTCAATCTGCAGGTCCTCGCGCGGATTCTCCGGAGAGCCCAACTCATATGAGCCAAGCACAGGCTTTCGCTTACTTTAATGATAGTTTTCCAGATTATAAAGATGAATTGCTTCATTTAATGAGGACGCCCGATCGTGAAAGTGATATGGAGATAGATGCTGAGGTTTTATCGATCTCTCCTCCTGATTTCAATTCAAATATCGCGAAGAGAGATTCAGTCAACGAAGAATCAGTAACCAAATCGAAGAGAAGGAGGTACATGAGAATCGATAGCAGCAGCGACGAGGATCATCCTTCTACAAAAAGAGTCAAACCAATCGACGAACTTGACAAAACGAAAAATAGAGACATTTCGAAGTTTTCTGAGGAAGAACCTGCGAAGTCGGAGTCCTATCCATCCAAAAGAATGGACCCAAGATTATGCCGCTCCAATAATAGAAATAAGCATCTTATTGATAATCCTTCGGATGCAGGTTTGATCAGAATTGAATTTCCCAAAACGTCCGATATAATTGATCCACGAAGGAAAGGCTGCACTGCGACTGCCAAATCTGGCAGTAGCACCGTGGAGATATCTCCAAAGGATAATTCTATATCATCGCAATGGAACGGACTAAACAACGAAGGTATTACCAAAGCCGAGTATTTACGAAGATTTGCAAGTAAAAAGCCCTCGTTGCCTGACATTTCTCTGTCATTGGAACCTGTTGTTAAGAGAAGAAAGAACATTGAAAAAAGGAGGAGCACTTTTACGTGTAACGCCGATAATGAAAAAATTTTGAAAAAGATCGATCCCAAAATGAAGAAATTGAAGCAGACATATTCGGATTTGTTTGGAAGCAGTTCCGACGAAGAAGTTGAACAAAGATCCCAGGATAATAACAGCAGTTCAAAAGAAAATTTAAATACAAATTTAAAATGTCGCCAAAATGAGGATATGCCAAAAAAAATTCTCGCTAAATCTAAGCTATCGAAGTCTTCGTCGGGAAAAATTGTTGCGACTCGAAAACACAAATCAACAAAAAAAGCAGCTGAAATAACGCCAACTGTATTAAACGATGACAGAATTGCTACCGATTCGTCCTCGATTTGTTCGTCCAGTAATGACGTCGTGAATATACAACCAAAGAAACGTGGTAGGAAACCCAAAAAACTTGATAATTTTAGAAGGCCATCTCCGGAAAATACGACTCCCGTTCCGAAAGAAAGGTCAAAAGTTTATGAGGATAATGCAATTAAAACCGACAATATTAAGTCTCTAGCAGCTTTTTCTACAGCTATCGAGCAGGAATTGCCTTCATTGCCGTTTGAGGAATGCGTACCTTACAGTACTCAACCGTTTGAGTTACATATTATTACATCCGAGTCCATCGCTGAAGATTTTTGTTTAAATATCCCATCAATGTCAGACGGTCCCTCGACTTTTAATTCGGCAGTTCTGCAATATCCTGCAGAAGATGATGATGTGATAGCAGTTGTTCAATCAGTTCCAGTTATAGATTTGACGATCGAATCCGAGAGCGAAACGATAACTCTTTATAGAGATTCTGAACAAGATGCCGTTGCCCTAGACGAGGAAGATGTACAAGCTGTTGCTGCATCGATTTTTGTCGGCGGTAAATATGTTACATCGGCCGAGATTCAGCCTGATAAAGGGTCGGCGCCAAGTGAAATTGATCAAGATACAAGCGGTGCATCAATCGGAATTAAGCAGGATTTAGAAGAAAAAAATAACAACACCACCAAGGAAGAAAAGCTCGCAGCGGATGTCAAATTCAACGACGATAAAGATAATATAGTTCTAATTAAAAAAGATGTACAAGCTGGTGGTAACACTAACAATGACGTTTCAAATGCGGTGATAGCGGTGCGGGATTCTGGAAGCACTGATCGGACAAATGCACAGGAGCTAAAAACTAAAGTGGAAGACGAACCACCGGTCTCAACACCAAGTGAAAAAGGAACCACCACAACCAATCAAGCTTCGAATTACCTTGCCCATGAACCGAGCATTGAGGAGCAAACTGATCATGCCGTAAGTTCGATTTTAGAATTGAGCGACGCTATTCCCAATCCAGCCCAACTGGACGATAATTCGGGGAGTGGCAAACATTCAAAATCTCCAGCGAGAATAAATGCAGAAGGCTCACAAAGAGTTGTCGATAGCAACTTGCGAAGCGTTGTAATAACGTCAGTGCAGCATGAAATATCTAAGATTCCACCAGATTCAAGGCGGCAACCATTATCTAAACCCATTGGTGTCGAAGAGCCACCTTCTTTAATTAGATTTGAAGCTCCGATTTCTGGGGATACTAGTCGGTTTCATGACGTGAACGTACGTGAAAGTGCATTACCGCCAGAAAGGTTGACAACAAGCGAAATCACAGATAGAATTGTAACATTATTTTCTTATCACGTTTATTTCTACTTCCACCTCCATAAAGCTCAGGTTGCATTCGAAGATACTTTAAACTCTCTGAAAGGATGTTCGTCTTGGTTTAAATTGGAATTACTCTGCTTTACGAATAGCATTGAAGCAAGAAAGGTAAGCAAATCGCAGCAGCTTTTTGAGGAATTATGCGCTTTAAACATAATGGCGAATTTTAAATTGATTGCGCCTAATGTTTTGATTGAATTGGTCTTTCAAAGACTCCAGACATTCGATGCATCAGGCATTGCGAGGCAACATGTTGTCCTTGTTGTTTTCCAACTACTAAATGGTTTTCATGAAAACATAAGTAAAATAGCTATCGCCAAAAATTTATTGAGCTATTGCGAAATAGTTATTGATAGAATGAAATCTAAAACTAAATTTATGAGCAAGGAACAAATAAATCAACTCCTAGAGCAAATAGAGTTTTCTAATAACCTCATATCTTCTCGACGAAATAACGACCGTCACGATAATTTAAATAGTCGAATTAGAAGTGTGGAAAATGCGAACATTTATCGAAGTGGCAACGTCAAAAGAATATCGAATCCTGTGCCGCAATATCAGATGCGCATAGGTCAAAATGATCAGATTCGATCGTCACATTCTTTTGCCACAGATCCTTCTACTTCAATTGTGAGTAACCCCATTATAACCAACCACGGAGTAGTTTCATCGAACGAGAGTAGTCTTAGGCAACAAGCTAATTTTGAATCCATTGCAAATCAATCTGCCAGTCAACAACTACTGAATTTGTGCAGATTACAAAATCGCAAACTTCCCGCTGGCACTACCAATATGACCGGTTCAATCATGGCGTTTTCAAATAATGCGGTGCCCAAAAATTCGGAAACTTCTACAAACCAGACAAATTTGTCGCTTCACACATATCACCGACCGGTTCCAAATCACCTTCAGCAATTACCACCAAGCGTTCAGCGTAATACGCGTCTGCAAAATTCCACTGAGCGAAATTCAAATTTCTCTCAAACCAATTTCAACGTTGGAACTCCTGTTCAGTTGGGTTCGAATATTTCAAACATAGTCCCTGGAAATTCAACTCAGGAAGCTAATGTGACACCACATTACCAATCAATCAATCAATCTCGTAGCGTCCGTTTTCCAGCAAATACTGATTATTTGCCAACAACTGCAAACGGCAAAACAAGCAACTCCTCTAATATAAGCAACAAAGAAATTTTGAAAGAGGTTTTAACCAACGAAAGATCAGTACATTTTGGAAATCAGACGAGCAGACCTTCAAATCCGGAAAACTTATCCGTAACGTCATCTGGCAATTTGGCAACACTACAGCGTCCACCTCCCCCCTATGATCAAAATTGGGCTATTGCGTTATCATCTTCTAATGTCGACAGTTCCCTTAATCCGAATCAATTACTTCAGCCAAACGCAACGATTTGTCAACAAATGAAGCGTAATATCACTAAATCACGTGCAAGTGTTGACAAAACTTCCAAGCCCAAAAGTAGTTACACCAAAAAGAAATCAAAACAAAATATAACCAACAATTCATCAAATGAAACTAATATGTCACAACCATCGCAAGTGTCTATTATGCCTCGGAATTCTCAGCAGGTATCGCCTCAACTACGCGTCGGTTTAGATCGGTCGACTGACATGATTAAAAAATATCAGTTGTCATCGGCGAATATAAATCAAAATACACAATCGTTCGGGTGCTCTCAGTCACAATTAAGACCAAACAACCTGTCGCGTTCTTCTGAGCCTCAATACACCCAATCTCCTACACTATATCAACCGCAGTCCAACTTATGTGGTCAAGCCTTACGATCTATCTCACATCCTCAACCACTTCGTGCATGGGAATCGTCCTTCGTCCAGCCGCAGCAGAATTTAGTTGTGTCACGATTGGTTCAACCAATTAGGAATAGCTTACCAAGAGACCAACCTCAAGGGTTGGCACCAAATGCCCGCTCTCAACCGGAGCCTACGATAGAAGCACCACGATCCAATAGTGAAAATTGTATGCCAAACTCAGCAGCTTGTCATCAATCTGCATGTCTTCGACAGCATGTTCTGCATGCTCCAGAGTATTTAGCTTCAAATGACACAAATTCCTCAGCAACTCCTGTATCTAATGATCAGTCTCCATTATCACGTCACAGTCCCCAGTTTATTATAGCAAATAGCTTATCGTCGTTGCCAAGTGTGTCAAGTTTCCAGTCGCTTGTTATTCCTCAACCAGAGTCTACGGTGGAAGCGTCCAGCTCCAATAAGCGCAGTAGCGTAGCAAATTCAGCACCCAGTCAACAATCATCCTTTTCGCAGAAATTTTCTCATAATCTGCGTGCGTCAATTACCTCAGCAACATTCGTCACAAGTCCCTTATCGGCAGCACAAAGTACCCGGCCAACAATAAACGCTTCAAGCCCATGTGTAGGGAACAGTGTAACAACATCCGTAACAACTCCTTTGTCGCCACCGCGATGCACTCAGCCAATAATAAGCGCATCAAGCTCTTATGACGGAAACAGTGTAGCAAATACACTAACACCAGATAGGCGTTCTCCATCGGTCCTGCAACCAGATGCGCAGCTTAACTCCAATATGTCTGAAGACTCAACCCTATCAATCCAAACTGATGATGACGTTGAAACCGTGGACTTGACTTGGATCGACGATCTAGATGAAACGGAATTGCAAATAGATCTCCAGTTGATATACGTCAAGAAAGAAGAAGATGTCTTTGTGGTGAGTACGAGGGTTTGCAGTTAGTATGATATATTTTTCCTGAATAACACATTTGTAATACTGAACATATTGTTTAATTCTATACCCTAGTAAATATTAAGCATTTGAACATAGTTATTCAAACGATAATCGTTTTAGTTTGCAATTTGTTGTTATTTTTAGGTGCCTTCACCTGCAGATAGTGGAATATCAAGCCCACCGATGAGGGTGAGTATAAGTTTTCCTAACTTAACGCTCGTGGTTATTAATTTCTAAATTACTTAGGCCGAAGAAAACACAATGGTATACACGGTGCAAAATCTGTGCATATGCAACAAAAAAGCCAATTACATTTGTGCTTGTCAGCAGGCTTGGTACTGCGGAACCAATTGCCAGGTAATAATAAAATCATCAGTATTGCTTGGTCGCACATTTAATGGGAAGATTAGCAAATAATTGAAATTTTATTATTAACATTGATATATATTTAACACATTTTTAAGAATTGATAATTAATACACAATGAGTGTCAAAAAATTAGAATTAAAAAATTGTAACTTATTTATATTTTATTTTATGTAATATTAAGTAAAACTATAAGGATTTAATGAAATTCCGAAGTTTCAAAAATTATTATTTCTAAAATGTTTCACGTGTTTCGCCCACACGGGAATCATCAGACCTAGAACAGCAATTTTTTGAAATAATAAAGTAACTTTCTTAAGTTAAGAATGCGCACATACAAAGCGTCAACTCAAATGCGCACAGACACAAATTGGAATGAAATCGAATCCGTTTGATTTTATCGAGAACTAAAAAATGACATAAGAAATGTGGCGATTGAGAAGTAAAAAATATAAAAATATATGAAAAAAAAAAACAAAAAACACCTAACAGGGTTACGCCGGAGATCTGCAGTTTATATTATTAAAAATTAATATCGGCTCAAAATTAAAAATGTTATTGGCACGGCACAATCAAGGATAGGACTCTTTTTGGCTTTGGTGATTTCTGGGCACTCATGTAAAACAATGACATTTTTATGTCCCGTGGACAAATCATAAGTAGCGAAAGAAAATTTGGTCTCTGTCCCCTCAGTGTCCTTGTACTTTTTCACCAAAGTGCCAGACTGTCCGATATAAATTTCATTACAATCCTCACAATTCAAAGATTATACTCCTGATCTAGAAAAATAATCTATTGGATCCATAACTTTTATTAAAAATTGTTTGATTGAACAAAGTGGATAACCGTTATTGAATGCAATATGTCTAATCGTCGTGAATTATTAAATGCTTCCTTTGAAAGTGGAATGTTGAAAATCCGGTAGAATAAAGAATTAAAAGAGGCAAATTAACATAGCACTGCCTGGAATGTCAATATTATTCAAGTAACTGGTCAACCGCTCTGCATTTTTGGTAGAACAATAAATGCTCCCAAAGTCAGTTGTATTTCTAAGAACTATGTTAAGCCACGAAATATGTGCCAAAATTCCTAACATTTACCAATTCCTTACATGAGAAAATTTACTTACCTTGATTATCTTTTAGTTAGGAAAAGTAAAAAAAAATTGAATTCTAAATTTTGAGAAACGCCCCATCTACTGACAAAGTGGTATAATTCGCTTGTTTTAATTCTTTATTCTACCGGCTTTTCAACATTACACTTTCAAAGGAAGCATTTAGTAAGAAATTGACGACGATTAGACACATTGCATTCGATAACGGTTGAACCATCAAACTTTGTTCAATCAGCAAACAACAAATACTAATTATCGTATTATATAATAAAACCGAAACCTCCAGAACGCAAGTTCCAATGACTGACATATTTCGGTAATATTACGTTACACCTAGCTAAATTCTTAAAAGGCAGGAATTTATCTATAGCGTTTAAAACAAACAATACATTAAAACAATGCTTACTAAAAGTTAAATATTCAATGGATTTTTCTTTGAATTGAATCCTTATAGTTTTGTGAGGATGGGCGATTTGTTTTATTTTACTATTCTTAGCACACATCCATCAAAAATAAAGTAATTAAATGCTAATTCATTCTTAAATTTAAGAATAATTCAACAAATTATGTTTAAATTATAAATAAATTAAAATAATCTTCCCAAATAACTATAATTTTTTCAGCGTGAATTTTATTTTTATGGTTTGAACAACTATTGACTTTCAGTTGTCCGACTGGGAATCTCACCGCTTCATTTGTGTGATTTCAAACAACACAACACCAGAGCAAGGCCATATTAATAGTACTTAATTATTGGTTAGTTTCTTCGGGAACAAAGTAACTACAAGGTTTCTTAGAATCTTTTGGCTAATTTTGTTAATGCTATAAATATGATAGTAACAACAGGAGTAAGATAATATTTTATAAAATTTTAAACTTCCTGCGTGCAATTTGTTAGAGATGCTTTTGGAATTTATTTTTAATTTTTTTATTTATCTTTCTAGATACAGATAAGAAAGATTTTGTTATATTTTTATAAAATTAGGTTTAATAAAGAAGTTGAAACGTACCAAAGGTTATTTTAAGAGATTAATAAATATTTTTTTCTATCAACAACTTAGTTTTATTTATTCAGTACACCTATGTACATTTTGTTAAAGTTTCGATTGAATAACAGTCGGATTGTAACAGTGATAAGTCTCTGGATAATCGGTTTACAATGAGTAGACGAAATCAAAAATTACAGAGCGAATCTAGCCCCAACCTCGATTTGCAGATAAGGATGGTCAACATGGAAGAAACCTTACGAAGCGGTATGGATACACTAAAAAATTAGATACTATTACTAATGATGACTATTGTTAGTGATTAATGATTGCCAACATAAAACAATTCTTAGCGAAACTTAAGAGCGATATTTCGAACCTACAAGCATGTGCCAATACTATACATAAAAATATAGAATTGCAGCGACAACAGGATTTTTTAAACAATTAAATATTCCATGGTGTTCCAGAAACAAATAATATTTACAAGGAAGCTTGTGCTATAGTCAACAATAAAATTGTAATAAACCGGGAGATAATTATACTCGACAGTAAAATAAAAGTAAAAGTAAAGTAAAAGACATAAAAAACTCTTAGTCCGCTCTCAGTGGTTGGAAGCTAGAGCTAATTTTTAACACTAAAAATTTCGGTATCGCTATAAGTGAAAAACTAACTTCCGAAAATCTTATTCTTTTTATGACAGAGCGCGCTAAAATTGCTTTAAATCAGATTGGACCTGGAAGGGAAATATTTACATTGCTCATGATCCTAGAGGAACTAAGAGGTTAATTAAAACCGAAGGAAGCAGACTTAACTAAAGTGAGTACCTTTGCGACCATACATAATATGTTAGTCGGGGACGATTTTTTTTAGTGTTTCTAGTGTTCCAGTTTTTTTTTCTATTCATATTTGAATATGCAAATGTTTTTTTCTTCTCATTTCAATTTCTTTGAGTTAGCGTAAGTTATTTAGCATGAGTGTATCTCTTAGTAAACAACTGGAGGAACAATTTAATATACCAGTTTGAAGTAGTTCTTTTTAAGTTTTGCTATTTTAATATAATTTCTCATTCCAGTTCTTGTTAAGTACTAATATTCAATTTCCGTATGTTGTACTAAATAACTGTAACAATGTTATGTAATTTTACATAAAAATATTCTATGTGTGTTAAGAAATAATTATTACGTCGAACAATCTTTGAGTTTGAAAATTGATGGTTATAACTTTGCAAGATCTGACAGGACGTTTGGTCGAGGGGGTGGTGTGGGATTTTATGTAAAGTCTTCAATTTCAAATAAAATACTAAATAAAAGTAGTTCCTTCTAGTTTATCTAATTGGATATTAAATTGCAAAATACTAACTTTGGAATTTTTGTTGTGTGTCGTCCTCCTAATTATTATATTATATTAGTTTCTTTGATCACTTTGAGAATAAGCTATCAGATTTATATAATTTACTTGATAATCAAATTACTGAGGTAAAGTTTTTTAACAGCTTTGCAGATTCTTTGGGTATGACCCCACTTATCGACCAACCAACTAGAACCACCCTGTCTACGGCGACACTTTTAGACTATATTGTAACTACTTGTACTCTTCAGTCAAAGATAAAAGGGTAATCATCCATGCTGATAGTCTGAGTGACCATGATATTAAGACCAATAGAACGACAGCTTCATTTAAGACACTCAGAACCTCAATTATGAGAGTTTTAAATCTGATATAATACCTATACCGTGAAAAATATTTTTGATTTTAAAAATGTCGAAGACAAAGTGCAATTTTTGAGTAATAATATTTTAATGCTTCTCGATACAGCTGCGCCATTTAAAAAAATCCTAGTGACTAAAAATTATACGCGATGGTTTACGGACATCCTCAAGGAAATGATAAAACTACGTGGTAAAGATTTAACTAAATTTAAAAAGAATAAAAACCCGGCCTATTGGAATTGTTACAAAGATTAGCGTAATACAGTGAACAACATGGCAATAAAACGTGAAAAAAAAGCTTACTCAGGAGAATCTCAGAAAAAACTGTGGAGAGCATTAAAGTCGTTAAATTTGGTTATATTATCTTGTGCTGAAAATATAAACAAACACTTCATTAATAACACGTAATATCGTGCCGGATACTAAATTAATTAAGTATTATCGAAGAAACACGCTTAGAGCCTTAATTTCTCCTTTACAGATGTTGAGGAAATCGAAATATTAAATATAAAGACAATATTAAAACTAAAGCTGTAGGTGTGGATGGTATCAATATTTCGTCAATAAAACTTTGTTCCCTACATGTTACTGCATATCACACATATAATAAATTTTTGTTTACAAAAATCTATATTTCCTGATCAATAGAAAAAAGCCTTAATTATCAGACCTATCGTGTTCTCATAACGTTGTCTAAAATCTTTGAAAAAGTAATTAATTCACTCTCTCATACCATTAAATCAATCAGGCTTTAAAGCTGGACAGAGTTGCACACCTGCCCTTTTCAGAATTACCGATGATATTTTTTAAGCACGAGATTAAGGTAAACTTACTCTTCTGACTCTCTTGGATTATTCAAAGGCTTTTAATACACTCAATCATTCTTTAGTAACCGTTTTACACTACATACTGTAAATGCAGTAAATCTACTTATATTCAGAATATTCCGGAGAAGCACTGCCTGCAACTTAACGCTGACAAGTCCGTTTTTAAATTGTTTGGACGTAAGAAAAACAAAAGTTCCTTTTTACTTACATTTAAAGAATCAATTTTTCTAAATGACGAAGTTTAGGTCTACTATTTTACAGTGAATGGCGGTTTTCAAATCAATAATCAATATGACTTCAATTTAAAGAGTATTTACCAAAACAAGCTTAATTGATCTGGTGTTATCTTTCATCCATGTTTGAATCATATTGATATTTTCCGTATTTAGAAATTACAAAACTGCTGTTTGAGGCTGATATTCGGAGTAAGAAAATTTCGGCGTATAACGGCGTATTTTCTAAGATTTTGGTGAATAAATATCCCCCTTACTTAAATGAAAAAATTAAATTTGGAAGTGACGTGCGCACTGTCAATATTAGCTATGAGGGGACCCTTACCCTACTATTTCACCGGACTGAGCTTTACAAACGGTCATTTTCTTATGTAATAACCAAATTTCTTAACGAATTACCAATTAAATTAAATATAACAATTTCATAAAAAATTAGTAAGCTATATTTTCGGTGTTCGGTAGTTATAATACGTGTAAGTTCAAATAAACGATATTGCCAAATGGTTATTGTTCCTACCTGTAAGATTAATTAACTACTTGTCACATCTGCCCTCTGCATTTCTTAGGCCTTAAGTTTTTCGGTAAGTGGAAGAAAAGGTCAATGATACGTCACTGAACTGAACCTCGCCTTTTTGTAAATTGATTAGTTATTTTTTATTATTGACTTGTTGATTATTGAAAATATATGCAATAAAACCACCTTTCAGCAAATAAACATTTTTTATTTATTGCCGACAGCAAACTAGACAACTTGATGTTCCTTAAATTGCCAAGAAATAATATTGTTGATAGGCAAAATTATAAATCACCGCTGGTCTGTATTGAGCCAAAAAACCCCAAAAATGTTTACGGAAATGCTGGCGTCCGCATTCATAAGTGATTTCTGGCATCGCATCGTCATACAAAGAGTTGTAATTAATTGAAGTAAATTTGGTAAACTAAAAGTGCTACAACGGGTATTGCTCAGACAAATACTGTATAACTATTGCTTATATATTCTCCATCTAACTTGATTTAGTTTGAGTTTCCTTATGGACACATTTTCTGTCGGTTTTGCAGAATAGCAAGGAAATAAAAGCAATTTACGAATGGCACATCAACTTCGACAACAAACTCATTTCGTTGGTTTTGGGATCAGCGACTTTGGTGGGCGTTCTTATTCCCATATTCGGTAAGATTAGACAAGACGTCATAAATGTTCGCGTGCCAGAAATATATTTTTCTACTCCCGTCTGTAAAATACCTAATCACGCACCTATCTAGCGTGCGAGAAGCGTCACTTTACCACGTCAGTTTCGTTTCCCACGAATCCGAGCCACTTCGGAATTTTCCGGGATTTTACCGCACAGGTTTGGGAGCGCTCGGATGTTTTCGGGAATATTTCCCACGATTTGAATTTTGACGTTTGTCAATTCTGACAGTCTTGTCAGTGAATGTATTCGTGTTGTTTTGCGAAAATGTACCCAAAAACCAACGGTCGTAGAAAAAGTATAGTATTCAACACGTTCGGTAAACTTTTTAAGTCACTCGTTTATTAAACACTTGCTCCGCTACGTTCCGCTCGTGTCAAATAAACTTGTGAGTCAAATGCTGTTTACCGCCCTTGTTGCATAATATACTATTATTGCTTTTATTATTATTAATTGAGAAATCACAAATGACAGATTAAAGTGTGCACGATTACCAACACCTGTATACTAATCCAGCGAGCATCAACCAAGTTCTGGGTCTGAAGTATGAGGATGAATGTTCATTTTGGTCATAATTTCAATTTAAACTAATAGCGGTATATTAATCACAACTGAATTCGATTACGTTTATTATTTTATCATTTTTAAATATCTAAGATCTAAGAATATGAATTTGTTGATTGGATGTCTCCAGTACGTTCGATCTGCGAAGAAATATTATGCGCCGCTAGTTATGACTGATGTATAAGAATACGCCAGTTTTAATCTCTAAAACCAATATTTGTCATGTAAATCCATAGACAAATAAATACAAAACTTTTACAGAAATGGCAGCGTCCAAGTTCATAACCCCAAAACGACCAACTTTCAGGCTTAACGGTTTCTGGCATCTCATCATCATGATGTGTACGATTACTTTAGTTTTGGTGTCGTGCAAGTACCAATCGCTTTCGAATAGGGCTCTGGCTAATTCCGAACTCTAAAATAGTGCTAACTGCTAGTAAGGGCTTTAAGGAACTCGAAATAGAGCTAGCAATATTTTAAGAACTAATTTTC